AATTTTAAACACATGTATGAATTTTTTGGCTCTAAAGAAAATAGAAGACAGGAAGTAATTTTCTCTCGCTCTCTCTCGGGAAGTATTTTCTAATTAAAGTTGGTGCTGTTTAAATAGCTGATGCATGCAGAGACGAGAGCAAGAACTTAGTCTTGAAGACCATGTTGATATTTGAAACGTAAAACTTCCGTAAGTCAAGCAGACTATGAGTGACATTAATTTGAAGAGTTACTTCCTCTGGTCGACTTGTTACTTATGACGGTGTACGTGCAGTTGTGTGGTCAGTGTCACCTGGTGGCCAGTGTCACTTGGTGGTCAGTGTCATCTGATGGTCAATGTCACCTGGTGGTCAATGTCACCTGGTGGTCAATGTCACCTGGTGGTCATTGTCGCTTGGTGGTCAATGTCACCTGGTGGTCAGTGTCGCTTGGTGGTCAGTGTCACCTGGTGACCAGTGTCACTTGGTGGTCAGTGTTATCTGTGGCAGTGTCCCGGGTGGTCATTCACCTGGGGTAAATTTTCACCTGGGGGGTCAATGTACCTGGTGGTCAGTGTCACCTGGGGGTCAAGTCCCCTGGGGCAAGTCCCCTGGGGGAAATGTCCCCTGGTGGTCAATGTCCCTGGTGGTCGTGTCACCTGGGGTCAGTGTCACGGGTGGTCAGGCACCTGGGGTTCATTGTCACCTTTCGGACTTTTTTTTCCCCCAGTCCCTAAACATTTGTACATTACCCAACTTTTGCTCATGTACCTCAAATTGCACCATGTACCTCAACATTTGCACCTTTTACCTAAACTTTGTACCATGTACCTCAACATTGTACCATTACCTCAACTTTTTGTACCATGTACCTCAACATTTTACCTGTACCTCATATTTGTACCATTTACCTCGACATGTGTACCATGATCTCAAAAAGTGTACCATGGCCTCACATTTGTACCATTACTTCGCATTTTTAAACCACGTACTTCGACAGTTTACCACACTTCGACTTTTTGTACCATGACAGGGGTTTTTAACCAGGGTGTCCCCGGCATCACAAAAGCAACATTTTTTTTGCTCCCGGCGTGCTAAGGCCACAGCCTTCACTGCCCTTAAAGGGAATCATTGGTTTTGGGTTTTCCCTGTGAATCGCCGCCCGGGGCGCCCCTCGGCAAACCCCTACGACCAGCTGTGGTCGGGGGCTTTTCCCGGGTCAAGCAACCATTTATGCAAATAAAAACACACAAAATTCCCAAACTTTTTTTTCCAAAGTTAGACAAAAAACAGTCGCGTGCTTTTGTGTGTGTTTGTGTGGTATCTCATTTTCTTGTGCTGGCAATGATCCGGGTTCCCTATCCGTCCTTTTAATTGCGTTGCCGGGTTTACTCACCAATTTCCTGAATCTGGTACTGACCCTTTCCCCTTTTACTTCTTCGCCATAAAATTTCCGTCTCCTGGCCGCCCTTGGGAAGAAGAGGGGGATGACCTTCAACTGTGCCCTTGTGTGCCGGTTTCCTGCCTTTTAGCAGTTCGGCCCCTTCCCCCCTTTCAAGTTTTCAGTTTTTAATTCGTTCATACCACCTTGGGTTTTTCTAGCCAATAATATCAAGTTTGGCGCATTTGTCACCAAGTTCTTTCCCCATTAACGCTGGGATAACTTATGCATACTCTACATTTTCTTTAGTTTCGGCATTCCTTCCCGGGGTATGAACCCATCATGGTGCTGCATAAACTTAGATGGATTGATATACCCCCGAAATTTTGAATTGGAATAACATTTTGTTT